TGTGCAATGAACTCATATGTAGGGTTTGAAGAAGTAGAAGCAGTGCAATACTTGGAAAGGCTAGCTATGACTGATGCAGCTCGTACATGGCTAGCTGAGATTCTAGAAATCCGAGGGTCAACACCTCCGTGGCTCACAACAGGGGTTCCAATAGTTCGAGCCACCCTAAACTTTGAAGCAAAAGGGTGCCAGACATTTGTATGCAGCCGCATTGATACATGCCTCAATGAGAACATCCTCCTATTTCCCCGTGCAGTTTTGGTGGCATCCATTATGGCTGGGTATCTGATTAATGTTGGTGCCGTCATGTCCACCAACATCTCTTTAGCTGTCCAGAAGGGTGAAAGATCCTATCTGTACCCGAACTTCCTCACATAATACTTCAAGGATCAAAGGGAGGAGCTGAAGCATTATGACATCGAGGTAAAGGCCAAGAAGCCTTTCTCATGGTACCACCTCCAGGGAGATGCCAACCCAAAGTTCAAGGGTAAAGCTACTACCTCCGCTGGCCAGTTTGAGGAGCCAACGGTAGTGGTTACTGATTTAGCTGTCGAGCCTTCCACAGCAGGTACTTCCACCGGGGCAGAAGCCATGCCACCTTCATCTTCTAGATCACCTGCTTCCGCTAAACTATCAGTGCCAGCCTTATCTACTTATCCTCAAACTGCGCTGCGAGTCTCCCAGACATTGACGAGTCTCAACAACTGGATGCAGGCAGCTACTACAAAGCTGACTGACATATCCAGTGTTGTTGCAACACAGTCCTTAGCCCCAGCAGCCCCAGTAGAGCCACAAGTACCTACGTCAGTGGAGGAAACATTGAAGAAGATTCTAGACAATCAAAAGACCATTATAGACACTTTAGAGACGCATGGGAAGGTCATTAAGGATTTTGGCAAACAGGTCAAAAAGATGCGGAAGTCTCAAGCATCAAAGAAGTCGGTGGAGAAGCTGAGAAAAGAGATTGAAAAGATTACATCTGCTAGAGATTTACCATTGGACCTACTTATGGAGTCAGCAGCCCCAGCAACACAGGAAGCACCAGCAGTACTTGAGGCACCAGAGGCAGCAGCCGACCAGTCTAAGGAGCCGGTTGCGACTGCCCACACCGCTGAGGAGATGGTCCAGATACTCAACAACCCTGTTGTCCCTCAGCCAGGTGATGATGAGATACAACTAGAGACCGAGGGTACTGAGGATTCCATGCAGACTAAGACCACATAGGGAGTTATCTTAACTCTCTACCCTTCCCTGTTCTTATTTTTGTTAAGCATTGGGGACAATGCTTATTTTCATTTGGGGGGTGGTCTATTTTGATTGATTGACTTTGACATTTGGATTTGGCCTGTAATAACTCTTATACTATTTTTCTGTTATCCTTATTTTTCTCTTTGGTATGTATATATTATTCCCCCATTTGATGTAGATATTTATTCCCCTTATGTATATATTCATTTCCTTTCGGTTTGTATATTCATTTATCTTGCTTTCCGTAGTTTATTTCATAGCTTCTTTAGTTTGTCTTTCCTTGGTAGTATAACTTCTTATTTGCCTTAGAAGCTTCTTTTTAATTTGTTAGCTTATTTTTTTAGTTGAGTGAACAATAAGCCTTTGGTTTTCTTAATGCCACGGTTCTTTCCAAAGGTGGATTTTGTGTGAACCGGGTGGCTCTTCCCAACGATAGATGGCGTGGCAACCTTCTTAAGCGATTGACTCCGTTTTCTTTTATGTTTTGGCAAATACAGTAGTAATGAATAAAAGGGGTCTCAAGCATGCTTCACCTGGTACCAACAAATTTACCTATGATCGTATGGTTAAAAACAAGTTGTTGGCAGAAAATAGCTCTAGTTGTGACCCTTTTAACTCTTGTGTTGACTTAAGAATTCATCGAGTAGTTCAAATCAAGCCATTTGTGATTCTCAATCTTAGCTTGGGTTGTCGTGAGCCCTTGACTCTGTTCTCTTTAGCAATCCAGAAGCGTGAGAGGTGAGATGTTTAGTTACAAGTCCAAGTACCCGTGCTAATGGTTTAGAACTTCCCCCGAATGTTTTTCTAGGCAAAATTCTAAGTGTAGCTTGGCTTGAGAAATGATTGTAGGCTCTCCTTAATCCAATTTGAAATTTAAAATCTTCCATAACCTACCAATGTGATATCCCTAGTCAACCTCTTTTGCCGAAGCTTTTTTTCTTTCAATAACCACGTTACAAGGCTTTATCCGTTTTGTAATGACCCTCTCTTAGCACCTGATCTTTCCTTAGCATTCTTGAGAAATAATTGGCAAAAACATAAGTTTGGGGGAGAGACGTGGAGATTGGAAGTGCTAAATGGTACAAAGAAGAGAAAGAAATGAAGAAAAGGGAAGGCAAAGAAAAGAAAGAAAGAACAAAAAGAAAAATTCCAAAAAGAAAGTGAATAAGGTAGTAAGTTGAAGGGATTCAAAGAAAGCAATGATGAAAGGCATGGAGTAAATAGAAAAGGAGAAAAATAAATGTCATGATCAAGAAAGAGTGACATTACGTCTCTCTAGTTCCCTCGAGGAAGAAGAAAATGACTCAAAGAGTCGAGAAAGTATGAGCCGAAAAGAGAAAATGGAGTGCTTAAGGAAAGATGAAACCATTATCTTATAACAAGTCCTACCTTGGTCCAAAAGCCTTTATTACATCCCGCAAAAGGCCTACATGATTTCAAGTTGAGTGAGCTTATATTAGTGGTGATTTACATAAGGGGCAAGCTTATGGTACTTAAAACCAGACTTGTGACGTTCTTTTGAGAGAGATGAACCAACTTTTCACAATCCTTGCTTCGAGTGTTACATTCTAAAGTGAGATTTGCTAATGGAGAGTAGAGGAGGAGGAGTTTAGATCCACAATGACCTACGTGAAAGAGCGAGCTTCCTTGATGAATAGAGTCAACTCTTGATGCTCTAGTGTCACATTAGAACTATGGTACTCAAAAAGTCAAATCATTGTGTTGTTGATAGTTCATATGTGTTGTGGGTAATTGTTGGTCCCAATTGATGCGTGATTGATTCACCTTAGGCCAGCTGAAATATCCCTTTTTCTAGTGGAGGTGGGAATTTCCTTATTTGCTTGAGGACAAGCAAAAGCTTAAGTTTGGGGAGTAGATAAGTAGGGATTTTGACCGCTTATTTGCTCTCTTTTACATGCGTTTTAGCTCAAAAATGCTTAATGGTATTCTCAAGAACTAATGGAATGTGCTTTTGTACAGGAATATTGGGAAACGAGCCAAAGAAGTCAATATCAACTCATAAAGGATCCAAAAGTGAACAAGAACCAAAACATGGCAAAAAGGCCAGCAGTGGGGACCGCACAACTCTAGTGCGGCCGCAACATAGGAGATTCAGAAAGTTAGTTTTTGGGCCAGCTGAAGGCATGCAGACCGCACCATAATTGTACGGCCGCAGAAGGACAAGTGCGGCCGCACTCAAAATAATGCGGTCCGCATAAGACAAAGATCAGAGAGATGGGAATTCTAGAATCAAGATGGAATGCGGGCCGCACTATTTTGGTGCGATTGCACAATCAGAAGCGTGGCCGCACTCATTTTTATGCGGACCGCATAAGTCCCAAAGTGACAAGCCCAAGTTCCAGGAATGCGGACCGCACTATAATTGTGCGGCTGCAGAAGCTCATTGTGCGGACCGCACACACAATTATGCGGCTGCACAACCTCCGCCAGGGCATTTTTGTCAGATATTTTTAGCTTAGTATAAATAGAATTTTTTGTCATTTTTAAGTTAAGTTTTGTTTTGGGAGAGCACCTGAGCCTTTTTCTTTACTGTTTTGGTAATTTTGTACTAGATTAACTTCTAAATATTAGATTTTCTTTCTCTAATCAATTATTATGCATCCTATCTTAATTTCTTCTTGTATTTCTTCATCTTTCATGAGTAGCTAAATTTCTAGCTAGGGTTGTGGCCCAACCCTAATGTGGGTACTTACTAGGTATTTTATTTAGGGCTTGTTTGTGATTGGGTTAGTGATATTTAGCCAAGTTCATGCTTGAATTCAAGAATTAATGGTTGCAAACATTGATTAATGCCTATTTGACTTAGTCTCTACTTGAGAAAGAGAGACTAAGTCTAGGAAAACTTGGCTAACAAGAAATTGGGGTGAACTCAAAAATTGATAGCCCCAATTAAAGGGACAAATCTAGAGATAGTAAGACCCGTCTTGAGCATATATCACTTGATTTGTGCAATATCATTTGGACTTGAGAAAGCCAAATTGGGCAAAAGCAGTCAAACTACCGAGAGGTATAGAGTGGGTAATTGCGTGTGATTGCTATATTACAATCCCGACTAATCAAACTTGCCTTAGAGTTTACAACCCGTTAGGTAACCACCTAGGTGGAAGCCACGACCCTAAATCTTTCATCATTTTGAAAACAACCAAAACCAAAAATATTATCTCCTAGTTTTATATTTGCAATCAATGGCTTAGAGTAGAAGTAAAAACAACAAACAAGAATGTGGAAGTGTAATTTGAGGCACATCACATAATTGCACTAAATATATACCTAATCCTAATTCTAACTCCCTGAGGATTCGACCCTGACTCGCGTTGGGATTTATTATTGCTTCGACCGCCTCACTACCTATATTTGTGGTGTGAGTTTGGGCGACATCACCCACCAAAATGAGACAACACCTACCAGCTTTCTAGAAATAAATTTCTATGAATCTTTCTTTGAATCCATCAACCTTCTCCACGTGTGAGATTGACCATACGCCCATTTCTTTGCCACATGATGTGACCTTTTGCAGTATTTGGCCTCCAAAAAAACTTTGAGTAAAGTCTTTTGAGTTCTGAAGTTCCATCAGAGCTTAATAGAGAAAGCATTATAAATGTCCTTCATTGCTCTAAAGCCTGCCCCTCCATCTTCTGTTGGAAAGCATAGATCACTACATGCTTTCAAATGTGTTTTTATTTCTGTTTCCATCTTTTCCCCCAAAAAAGGTTAGCCATAATCTTCTAGATCTAGTTCAATACTGTCTTAGGAGGATGTAACACAAAAAGAATATGCAGAGGTAATGCTTGTAGTATTGATTTTATAAGCACAACTTTATCCCCATATGATAATAATTTACTCTGCCATCCTTGCATCCTATTAGCCACTTTAGCAACCATATCACTGAAATATACCACCTTTTTCCTCCCTAAGTATATAGGACATCCAAGGTATTTCATAGGAAATTGACACCATTGAAAACCAGTGATTTTATTAATGTCAGTAATCCTCTGATCATCTTCCTGAAAAGGAACATAAAAGCTAGATTTCCTCTTGTTCACCATTTGCTCAGATATCTTCTCATATTCATGTAATTCATTCATCACAAAATGGAAAGAAAAAAGATCACATGAAGAGAATAAGATAGTATCATCAGCATAGCATAAGTGAGTGATTCTGGGACTCTTCTTATCAACGGAGTATGGAATACAACCAATATTGAATAGGTTATCCATAATCCCTGATAATAGTTCAGCCTCCAACACAAATAGAGAAGGAGATAATGGATCTCCCTGCTTGATTCCTCTGCTTGATTTGAAAAAACCATGCCTGGTTCCATTAATATTAATAGAATACCACACATTGGACATTAGCATCCATATACTCCGGATCCAACCTTCTGAGAAACCCATCTGCCTGAGTACTTGGCAAAGAAATTCTCAAGATACCCTATCATATTCTTTAGTCATGTCCACTTTTAATACAACATTGCCATATAGAGATGGTTTAGTTATATTATGGACTAAGTCTTGGGTGAGCATAATGTTTTTTGTGATAAACCTTCCTCTAATGAAATCTGTCTGGTTAGAAGAAACCAGTTTTTGCATCAATGGGCTTAGTCTCTGGGTCAACAACTTGGATAGAATCTTGCATGAGAAATTACTAAGACTAATAGGCCTTAGATTTGTGAAAGACTGAGGATTGTCCACCTTTGATAATAAAGTAAGGCATGTGTGAGCCAATGCTTTTGGAATCTGATTATCTACAAAAAAAAAAAAAAAACCAAGAGTCATTAATAGTATAATTATGTGTTATACACTGAGATATACAAGGAAAATAAGTTTTTAATAATCTTTTTAACTTACACAAACAAAAGAAAATAAAATTATGATATACTTTTTGGTATACACGTTATTTGATGTGTTATATATTATGATATACAAATAATATAATTCTTTTGTTGGATTGGACGAGTGGGTATGGTTAGAATTGGTTGAAAACACTTCGACGATATTATGCAAGATTAGAAATGATTTAGACTTGTTTCAAATAAAAAATTAGACCTAATGCAACTACGATATGTGTATATCACGTTGTATATCAGGTACATAAATGTATATCACGCATAGATTTTTATGGACGCATATGTATATTATATTGTATATCGTGTATATCACAAACAAATTTTTATGGATATACATAGATACACACGATATACATGAGATAAAACTGATATACATGGGATACGAAATACAACGCGGGATACACATGTGGAGTCTTGAAACTCGAGTTTTCAATCTGAAAGTTAACTCAAATTTACCTCAAATTTTTTATTCCCAGAAATGTTGCTAAGCTATTGCAACAATACCCAATTAAATTTTACAATACTTTTTTAATTTCAAACTTAAGAATCTCATATATCACACTTTAATAATGGGCTTGTTAAGCTTTCTCGTTGATAGTGTATGCCTTTATACTCTAACTCGATGAGAAATAGAGGGGGAGGGAGGCGTGATGAGAAGAGGGTGGTTGGGTAATGACAGAACTTTGGGTTTGGGTACAGCAGAATCTTGGATGGCTTTTGGACTTGGTTTTCTGATAGACTCGCGACAAGATAGAATTTTGGAAATTGGTAGAATTGTTTTGATTCTGTTTTAATATAGATAATATAGTTTGATAGTTTGGCCTGACACAAAATTTAAGAAAGAAAATAAGTCTTCTGACAATAATATAATATTAATGTGGCTATAAATACTTTTTATAAAATGGCAATAATATAATATTTATGTGGCTATAAACACTTTTTATAAAATGGGTAAAATAAAAAGTTCAAAATTAAATTGTTGTTATTTTTTGAAACAGTGTATCATTTAGAGTAATTTTTTAAGTTGAAAAGTGAATTTGGGCTAGCGAGTGCCAATACTCATAAATTGTGCTTTTTCATGCCATTTACAAGGTTAAGTTGCCATGTAGTGTCAATAACTACGGTTGGAATTTAAGATTTTAAGCCTTATTCAACCTTATTGGATCTTGTTAATATTGAGCTTCTGATTTTGAAACAAAAACAATGCTCTTATAATTCTTTAGTCTTCTCATGTAATGAAGTTTGTTTTTCCAATCTAATTTTGTTTACTTGGAAAAAGAAAGATATAGAACATTATCATTAGATATGGAGTTTTAGAATTCTATATTCGTCAATTAATAAAACATTAAACTTCTACAGTATCAATATGTTCTCAAAACATTTAACTTTAGCACTGATAATTTTTGTGATCAATCCTTGATTAATCTTCAATATTTCTACTGGATAAATAAAACATTTGGTTAAATTCTTAAAACTCCAGTTATAAATTATCACTGTTCCTTTTAAAATATGTAATATTCCCCTCCAAGATGTTCCAGTAGGTTTATTAAATAAGCCTACAAGAATTCAACAGAAGGAAATAATATTTGATATAGGGTTCTGCATTCATCCCTAAGGCATGGCTATTTCAGTTGCCAAAGAGTCAAACTTCAGACCCTTTCCCTTTTACACACTTAAACAGGTTAAATTATAAAACTAACCTAAAATAAAGGTACAATGAATAAAGAAGCACTCAGAATGAAAAGGACTAATTGTTAAATAATTATGATATCAATGATCTTTCGACCTCATACATGTTTATCCTCATCGTGCTCACAATAAATTCAGAAAAGAAAATGAATATTCGTATAGTTTTTGCAAAAATGACCAGAGTTAATCAAATGGAAAAGGATATTCGTATAGATTTTGCAAAAATGACCAGAGTTAAATCAAAGGAAAAATTAAAGTAGAAAAAAAGGCGAGCATTCAGAATGAGTAGGAGGTTGGTTATTCTTCATGAATAATCGGAAATTAACTTTTTTATCGTCATTATGCTCGCTCTTTAAAAATCACAACTTTGAAAACAAAAATTAGCAAAATATTGAGTTTTAACAAACAAAAAAAATTGATTTTTTCTTCACAGAAATGAATAAAAAAACCATCAGAAAATTTGGATATTAACATCAGTTAGGTACACAAAAGGTACCTCAGACGACCGTCGTGAGAATATTAATCCAAAATCATCATTCGGTTTCACCACAATAAAAAGAGAAAAAATAGGGGAAAACTTTACAGCAAACGAAAATTAATAAAACACAGAGAATACCGAAAAATTGAATCTCAAATAGAACAATTTTCCGCCATGAAAAAGCACTGATAAACAACGAGCACGATTGACGGAGGAGATAATCGAACTATATTTATAGTGTTGGAGCTTCATTCTTTAGGGTTTCCATTACGAAGTTGAATTTACCATTTTAACCGTCAATAATTTCATGTGCTTATTGGGCTTAAATGTTCGTTCTAAAGGCCCATAACTAGAAAATAAGCCCAACGAGTTATTATCAGATTAAGGCCTATCCAATATCCATTGGTTCGTTGCCGGATCAAAAGAAGAACCGGTTAAACTCCGACGGGAACAAAAGCAATTTGTGTAAACTTCCGACGATTCAGTGCGGCCATGGCGATCGATTCTATTCCTCCAATCATCGCTGCTCAGCTGAATTACTTAGTCACACACTGTCCATTCTCTGTCAAGGTCAGATAATATGTGTTTACACAAATAAAATTAGGTCATTTTCATTTAAAATGCTTACGATTAGATTATTCACTGACAAAATTTGGTGTTTGGAGCTTGTTTCAGGTGGAAAACATGTGGCCAGGAGGCAAAAACACTGGTTTATTTGATCGTTTCTCCTTAGTCATCCCCTTTTGCCTCGATTACATCAAATGTGAGTTCATTCTTTTAACTTTCTAATTTACATTTCAATCGGCTGCTGTAATTTTAATTTGCATTTCAGTCAGTTTTTGTAATTCTAATATACGTTTCAGTCAGCTGTTGTATTTTTCTAATTTACATTCTTCTTAACTGTTTCAACTACCTGAATTTGGGGCAGGGGATGTGATTTATAATGCGGTGTATCCGTTGGCAGCACCAGATGTTATATTTGGGCCGGAAGATGAAAATTTTCGGCCCTATCGTGTTATTGGCGAAGCTAGTGACTCAAAGTCATTGAAGAATCCTCTTACTGACTGGAATAGTAGAGACCCGACTCGTTTGTTTTCTCTAGTTCAGCAACTCAGGTGTTCTGTTTACTGTTTATTAGTACTTACTTAAAGATCATTGATTATGAAGAGAAGTAACTTTTTTTGAAAAAAATGATAAAGAAGAGCTGAGCTTTAGTTTATGTGGTTGTTAGGGAGTTGTACAAAGCATATCAAAAGAAAAGAGTTGAAGAAGTTGATGATGACAGGTTGAAGTTTGAAATCAGCACAATGCTCGCCAGAGAGGTAAAGCTTCTAATTTGATCATCACAGGGTTGTTTGGCGTGATTCACCAAATTTTCACAGGCAAAAACACTGGTTTATTTGATCGTAGTGGTTTTAGTTGTGTTATAGAATTGAAAATGTGTTGTGTAAATTAGCTTCAACGTTTCTTTTGCAAAAACATGTGAGCTTGTTGGTTTTTGTGGCTTTGAGGCTGTTAAGTTGCTTCCAGGGACGGATTTACCTTCGTCCAAGCGGTGTCGTTTGGTCGAATTTTTTTGTTAGATACACATATAAATAATATGAAAGTTTAGTTATATAAAATAAAATGAGATCTTTGAACGTAAGCTTCATTGGTCGAGCGCTTCTTCTCCAGAGCTCAGGTCTCGAGTTTGAATCTCAATTTTGACATGTAGTTTAAGATATTTTTGTTCCGGACTTCCGTTTTAAGAAGTAATGCTCCGAAGGATTGAACCCAACACCTATTTTAAAGCAAGTACAAACAAAACCACTGAAGTAGTACTGCTTTTTGTGCCTTCCATCTATAAAAGTTACCCCAAATAGTATTATAAATATATTTCAAAAAGTGTAAATCCGTCGAGGCGAGTTGTCGTAATATATTTGTTTTATATGTTTTATTAATATGTGAATTATTTTTAAGAATGCAATATTATTAAAATAATTTATTCACATATTTACTGTTTCAATATCGACGCCGCTAACAAAAATAGCAAGAGGATATGGGATCAGAAGTTCCTTCTGAGGGAGCTAGGTTACTTATTGCTTTGGGAGTATGGGCTTGCTTGTCTGACTGCAAATTGTAATTGATTCTTTATGACTAGGAAGTGGAATAATACTTGATTAAGTAAAAACAAAAGCTGAAAGAGAATCTATTCTAGGCATCATGGTAGTTCTCTTAGAGAGCATTTAATCTGACCTCTATTCATCATCAAATTCTTAAATTCTTGCTTGGAATCAGTGGACATTGTAAAATCTGGAGAAAGAGTTCATTGTAGTGGTAGTTCTTAACTCTCTAGAGTGTATAAATTCTCAGTATATTATTTTTTTATACATGCATAGATT